ACTTTCTTTCTTTCTTTCTTTCTTTATTTATTTATTTATTTATTTATTTATTTATTTATTTATTTATTTATTTATTTATTTATTTATTGGATTTCTACCCTGCCCTCCTGCCCAGACGGCTCAGGGCGGCTTACAACAGGTTAAAACAACATACAATTTAAAACAACGAATACAAAATATAAAATACAATAAGTACAATAAAATTAAATAAATACGGCGGCCTCCTATGGTAAAGTGCTAGTGCGACCCAGCCGGTGCAGTCAGTTCTTATTTGAACGCTTGGTGAAACAGCTCAGTTTTCACGGCTCTACGGAACTGCTGGAGGTTCTTCTGGAGAACTTCTGATCTTCTGGCTTCCAACTCTAAGATTCTTTTTTGATTGCCCCCTGCTGGTGGACCTCCTGACGGCGCCTGGGTTTTGGCCACTGTGTGACACAGAGTGTTGGACTGGAGGGGCCATTGGCCTCATCCAACACGGCTTCTCTTATGTTCTCTCTCTCTCTCAACAAAATTTGGTCCCGACACCACCTTGCCCCTCACTCAGACACACACACATATGTTTTGCTCCACCAAAACAGCTTGAATCAGCCCTGGAGACTGGCATGCATTTGGAAGGGTGGAGTGAGAATTTTGCGGGTTTAAGAACTAGTCAAGCTGATGGTTGCTAAACTGTGGGTCAGGACCCAAAAGTGCATCATGCTTCTCCTGCAGGTGAGTCATGAGGACAGGAGAGGGGAGAAGAGAAATAGGGTGAACAAGGAGAGGAGGCTCAAGGCGGCGGAGGCTTGAGGGCAAATTCGTGTTTGGGATACGGCCTGCTATGGGATATGGCCTGTTGCTTAGTAGTGCTGTCTGTGTAGAAATCCTAAACATGCAACCTAAGATACAAACTCATTATAAATCTAGAAGCGGGGTCTCTCTTTGAAAAGTCTGAGAACCACAACATTAAGGAGTGTGACCATAATGAGGAAAAAGTACTGACATCCGACTTTGAGAGCGAGTTTGGTGTAGTGGTTAGGAGCGCAGACTCTAATCTGGGAGAACCGGGTTTGATTCCCTACTCCTCCACATGCACCTGCTGGTGTGACCTTGGGTCAGTCACAAGTTCTTTCAGATCTGTTCTCTCAGGAGCAGTTCTTGAAAGAGCTCTCTCAGCCCCATCTACCTCACAGGCAATGCTCCCTCTAAGCTGTGGAGTCTTGTGAGCAAAAATTCTACTTTGTGAGCTCCTGGCATTAAAGTTGTGAGCCAGCGATTTGGTTGCTGCATTCATTAGTTTTCTCTGGAGCCATCCTTCCTGAGCTAAGACAACAATGTGTGAGCCGGAGGCTAAAGAACTATGCGCTAGCTCACACTAACTCAGCTTAGAGGGAACACTGCTCACAGGGTGTCTGTTGTGGGGAGGGGAAGGGAAAGGAGATTGTAAGCCACTCTGAGACTCCTTCGGGTAGTGAAGGGCGGGATATAAATCCAATCTCTTCTTCTCTCTTCTTCTTCTAAGCACTGTGTATGCAAGAGAAAATTATTGGTTTGGAGTGTCTTAGGTCTGTGTTGTCTTGTGGTGGTTCGGGGGGTGGGTGGCAGTTTGGTTTCCAAACCCGTGGGATGTTTTAACACATCCCCCTTTTCTTTCTCTCTCCTTCCAGTTGCCATTTCTGAGCACTTCTGTCCAGGAGACTGCGCCCAGGTTATGACGGCTAATCCCAAACCGAACAAAGCATTAAAGGTAAGAGGAGAGGCGCTCGGTCCAATTTCACAAAAAGGCTAGGCGGATTTGCAGAGAGCAGGCCAGGATAGCTAAACAAAACCTCCACGTTCAGAGGCAGTACACCTCTGAGAATCAGATGCCAAGGACCAAAGAAGGGGGTTGCTCTGCTGAAGAGGCTACAGAGACCTCTGGTTAGCTGGCTTTGATGAACGAGGGTCTCGGGCTCTGCCTTCAGTTATTTTCGCACTGACGAATCACCCGAATTAGCCTTCTCTCTGGCTCTCCTTAAGATTTGTTTATTTACTGAAGTTTCTGAGGTTAGCCGTGTTGTTCTGCAGTAGAATGGCTCAATTCGAGTGCTTATAGTGCCTTGGAGACCAACTGAATTTTCAGGGTAGAAGCTTTTGAGAGTCAACGCCCCCTTTGTCTGATACCAAGAGAGCGTCGACTCTCGGAAGCTCATATACCGAAAACCTTGTTGGTCTCTAAGGTGCTATAAGCACTCGAATCTAGCTTGTTTTCTTAAAAAGTATATATCCCGCGTTCCCCTCCACCCGCTTAACGGGACTCAAAGTAGCTTATGTAAATTTAAAAACGGGTAAATATCACATTGGCAGAAAAAGAGAACGAAAAGGAAGCCCACTTTCACTCACGGGCTATCAAAGGCACGACATAACTAATGTCGGGTCCAGACCTTCATCATGTCCTCCAGAAGCTGCTCCACAGCCCGCCGCCGAATTATCTCCCCTGGCGTATGTAGCTATACCATGTTTCCAGAAAACAATTAGGCATTCATATATATATATATTTTTTTAAAAAAAGACAACCTTAACTGGATTTGAATAACATTCAGTGTCAGGGCTGTAGCTCAGCTGGAGTTTTGTATGATTCGTGGGAATTTTCAGGAAATTGCGTATAGTTGCTTTAGAGTGCATTCTCTTGAGTGTAAAGGGCCCTTATTGAATCCCCCGGCATCTCCAGTGAGAAGGATTTGGGGTCTCAAGGCTGGCAAATGCTTCTCGGCCCCTTAGTCCCAGCTGGATGGACTGAGGGCCCGACTCAGCGTAAGGTGGTTTCTAACCTTTGAGTCCAATGGCAGATTTCCTGATGACCTGATAACAGCCATGGATTTCTCTGAACCTCCCTTTGTATCCTTAGGGGAAGAGGGGTTTGGGATGCTACTTGCAAACAGCATCCTGAAGTTGATACGGAGGGAGGGAGGGAGGGAGGGAGGGAGAAGGAAGGAAGGAAGGAAGGAAGGAAGGAAGGAAGGAAGGAAGGAAGGAAGGAAGGAGCTACTCTTTCAGTTCCTGACCATCAGCAAACCCTTGCATCTCAAAACTTCTGCAGGGCGTGGAGCAGCCAAACCCTCAGAGCTCTGAAATTTTTGCAGGGTCTGCTGAGGCGGACAGAAACGCGCAGTCAGCGTACGTACAGCCTGTAAATACTTGTAACCAGTGTTCCCTCTAAGCTGAGTTTGTGTGAGCTAACGCACAGGTTCTTAGCCTCCAGCTCACACATTTTTGTCTTCGCTCGGGAAAGATGGCTCCAGACCAAACAAATTTATGCAGGAGCCAAATGGCTCACTCACAGCTTTAATGCCAGTAGCTCACGAAGTAGAATTTTTGCTCACAAGACTCCACAGCTTAGAGGGAGCATTGCTTGTAACTATCCTCTTCATGAGTATTCGTACTACAACTCAACATGGGTCTACTACTACTTACAGATCCTATCAGGGCGGTTTTGTGCTCCCTCTACACCAGGGGTCCCCAACGTGGTGCCGTGGCCACTATGGCACCCACTAACAATACATTAATTTTCAAAGGTCTCCTGTTCAACGGATCTTCTGTCTAAAATGCTGAAGGGTTACTATCAGAGTTATTTATAAGTTCACTCCCTCGTATTCTGAGGGTGACTCCGCCTCCCATGGCAGCCATTTTATAGCTGCGACTGCCACACCATGCCAGAATTCCAAAGGTGCCCACAGGCTCAACAGAGGTTGGGGAACCCTGGTCTGCACTATGGGGGTAATATTACGGCCCGGTATTGCGCGGTTGTCGTAAGGGTATCTGAGATAAAAGAATGCCTTTGAAAACCTTTAAAGCTTTATTCAAACCCTAGTGATAATTACGTTCAAGCGAGTGTTGCAAAGAAGTTGACGCATCTTACTGGGCAACAGAAAAACATTTACCAGCTCGCTGACGTTGTTGGATGTTTCAGAGGGGTCTGGTCAATTTAGTGTTTTACCGTAAGGACTTTCTTGGATTGACAGGTGGGCTAGAAAAATCATGGCAAGTCATTAAAAATGTGGAATTCTCTGCCAGAGGATGTAGTGATGGCCACGGGCCTAGAAAGCTTTGGAAGGGGGTTAGATCGATTCATGGAGGACAGTCAATATTATTTACATTGTAAGCCACCTTGAGTTTCTATGAGGTAGAAAGGCAGTTGATAATTAAAAAAAAGAAAAAGTAACGACCCAGGCTGAAGAGTGGTGCACTGTGGGCCAGCGTGTGGGACCTGGCCATGGAATGTCTCGATCCAGATCTGTCCAGCATTTACCAGTAGGGCAGCAAGTGTACACATGACAGCTGGCCTCTGCCATTGCCTCATTTGGAATACTGTGTGTACAGTTCTGGTCACCGTATATCTCCAAAAGGACATTGCGGAACTGGAAAAAGTACGACCAAGATGATTCGGGGGTTGGAGCCCCTCCCCTGTGAGGAAAGGCTGAAAAGCCTGGGACTTTTCGGTTTAGACAAGAGACAACTCCGGGGGAATGTGACAGAGGTTTCTGAAATTACGCATGGGATGGAGAGAGTTGACAAAGCGAAATTTTTCTCCCTCTCCCAAAAGATTAGAACTTGAGGGTATCCAATGAAGCTGATGGGCAGTAGGTTCAGGGCAGACAAAAGAAAATACTGCTTTACACAGAGAGTGATTAAAATGTGGAAGTCACTGCCGGAGGATGGGGTGATGGCCACAGGAATAAACAGTTTTCAAAGGGGATGAGAGAGATTCATGGGGGAGAAGTCTATCAGTGGCTACTGGCCATGGTGGCTGAGGGGAACCTCCACATTCAGAGGCACTAACCCTCTGAATCCCAGAGCCAGGAGGCGACATCAGGAGAAGGCCTCGGCCTCTATGCCCTGTTGATGGCCCTCCGGAAGAACTTGTTGCCCACTGTGTGAGTCAGGATGCTGGACTAAATAGACTGTAGGTCTGATCCCGCACGCCTCTTCTTACATTCTTACGTTTTTACCTCTGTGCTGTGCTATTGATATCTGCAGGTTAAGGAGGAGTCGGGAGAGAACGGCCCGGTGCTGAGTGACGATGAACTCGTGTCGATGTCAGTGCGGGAGCTGAACCAGCACCTGAGGGGCCTCACAAAAGAGGAGGTGATCCGCCTGAAGCAGCGCCGGCGCACGCTCAAGAACCGGGGCTACGCCGCCAGCTGCCGAATCAAGCGGGTGACCCAGAAGGAAGAGCTGGAGAGGCAGCGGGTCGAGCTGCAGCAGGAAGTGGAGAAGCTGGCGCGAGAGAATAGCAGCATGAAGGTCGAGCTGGACGCCCTCCGCTCCAAGTACGAGGCGCTGCAGACCTTTGCCCGCACGGTTGCCAGGGGCCCCATCACCTCAGCCAAAGTCGCCACCACCAGCGTCATCACTATTGTGAAATCGGCAGAAATCTCATCCAGCTCGGTGCCATTTTCGGCAGCTTCTTAATGTTCGGGGTGGGCGAATTAGCCGCCTTTCGGGGACGGGAGGTTGGGATGCTGTTCGCCGCTGAAGAGCCTACCTTCTTCGAGGATTGGTGTCCTGGAATCCAGCTTTTCCAAAACCACAGAGTGGAATATCTGCAAAGGGAAAAAGAAAACGAACCGGCTGCTCTCCTGTGGACGTAAAAGTCTGTGAACCCTTTGTGGCCAAGATTGGAATTCCCGTTTTTTTGCTATCAGGAGGTCTTGCTCAACTCTTCCATGCGAGTTATTCAGGTCCCTGGGTGGCTCCCCAACTGGGAGGTGAACCTAGAGCATCCTGTAGAGCATTGTTGAATGAAACTAAACCACCAAGAAATGGATGTCCTGGCAGACTCACCGGACAACATCAATGAACGAAAACGGCATCTGCCTCCCTTGGGAAAATATAACAATCAGTTCGTCCCATAGCAGTCACCTTTATTTCCATCTCTGAGTGAGGATGCTCAGCTCTGGAGCAGCTCACGCTGCAGAGTTTATCAGAGTGTCGTAGGATAGGCCTGGCTTTGTCTGTCAAATTACAGAAACCCTTCACGGGTTAATGTCTACCCTGGTTCCCAAGTGCTGTTATGTATTCTTGTGCGGTCTAGCAACAATGGGAGGGCATCTCTAACGCAGAGCCTGCCGTCTGCTCCTTCCCCGTTAACGTGCCTGTGAAGTGGTGTCTTTTATGTGTCTTAACTGCTTCCAAAACAATACCTGCTCCCCCTAAGAACAGATTTTTTTAGGAAAAAAAATCTCTGCAGTGCTGCAAAGAAGAGGAAATGGGAAGCGCCCAAGAAGAGTAGGATGTGGGGTGAGGGCGGGTGTGTTGAGCCAAGATCGATATTCGAGAAAAGGGAACCGTTACGTGGGAAATCAGCATGGTAGGAAGATGAGTTTGGACACAGCATGTGTTAAGGGCTGTGGGAAGTTTAGATGTGAAAGAAGCTGGAAAGTAGTAAGGATGCCGCAGAAAAAATGTGTCTGACGCATTGCTAGGACTTTGCAAGATCACCTTATGGTGCTCTTTAACTGCGAGAGATGATTCACGGTGAAAAGTGGTAAAAACAGAAAACAACCCTTTTCAACCAGTTGGCCTCAGAGTAGCAGAGATCAGGGAAAATGGCTGAGGAAGGTCCCCTCTTAAAAACTTAAGGTGTGTGAAAACATCTCAAGAACGTGCAGTCCGTGGTTCAAGCAACATTTCTCAAATAGTTGCAAAGTCCGAGTGTCAGAGGTGGGTCGTGATTCTGCGACAGAGACAGGAATAACAGGAGATGTCTCAGTGTCAGAGGACAGAGCAGTCGGTGGGAAGCAGAGTTGAAAACGGCTATGTTTTGAGTCAGCCCGGGCTGAGTTAAATTGTTAACATTATAATCCTGTGCAGAGTGACACTTTTCTACCCCCATTGTCTTCAATGGACTAAGAGGGGTCTAACTTTGCTTAGGATTGCAGTGTCTGAGGGTCTTTAATGTGAAGAAAGCTGAGTTTTGTGCACTTAGAGAAAGGAGAGACACGGCCGAGGGCCAAAGCTAGTTTGTGGATGAATTTTCATGTCAAGGGCAGGATAGCGGGTTAAACAGGATGGCCAATGGGGGTTTAAGATTAAATGGAACTGCAAGTCGATTTGTGTTATGTCTGAAAGACAAATCATCTGTTGCTTTGGGGGTATTTGGGGGTATTTTCAAATCCCAAGGGATTCTCCCTGAGGACCCCCGATTTGGCGAGCCCTAAAACAGATGAGAAGATTCCCCGCACAGTTGTACCTGTTGCTGTGCTTCATAATGGAAGCGGGGGGCGAGAATGTTTGAATGTTCCCTCCACATGGTGTGGACTTGCACATGGGGGTGGGGGGAAGGGTACCTTGTAACTTTTCCCCAGCCTGCTGCTTTGATGTAGGGCAATGGAGATAGTTTTATTTTCAACTCCCGGGTGCATTCAGACATTTGATTCCTCATCTGCAGTATGCACAGCACAGCCCAATAACAAATACAGCCAACCGGGCTTCTGTTTTTGCCCGTTTTCATGCTCTTGTTTCACAAGCTATCCAACCCTTATATGTGTGTAATGCCAACTTGAGTCTTGAACTTGAACAGAAGATGCCACTGTCGATACCTGACCGGCAGCAGTTTAGAGCCCCATACGTGCTCCCGGGTAACTTCCTCCTTCCCTCTGCCCAGTTGGGTCACAGGCTGCTAAGGAAGTCAGTTGGGAGTGGTACACGTTGTCTAAAACTCTGTTTGATGCTCCATCTCAGATTATTACTGAGGGGGATAAGTGGAAGCCCAGGACCTGCTATATCGGAGTTAGTAACACGGATGGGGTAGCACAGGTGAAAGTTGTGTGTGTGTCTCGGAGAGTTCCTTTACCACCATTAGTACGAGTACCCCATCCTGTCATAGAAATACCATTCCACGTGTTCCGGTAGTGTCGGTTACTGCTGGCAAACCGTTGTCAACATCAGATCATGCATTAATTCCCAGGAAGAGTTAACAGCACTTGCGGAATACCCCAAACGTCATCGAGACGCGTGCGTGCCAAACATGGCCAACGTTTTAGGATTACCTCATTTTCTCTCCAGCCTTTGTGTAACCCTCTAGAAGGCAAGTTGATTTCTTGCATCCCCGCCCCCCGCGCCATTTTTGACTCCCTCGGCAAATGTTGAGGAAGAAAAAAAAGATATTGTCTATACATATGTGTGTGTTACTGCTATTTCATCTTTAATGTATTTTGGAAAATTCCCAGATCTCTGTGATTTTCTTTGAAGTGGAGGGAGAGGGGGAAGGGGATTCGATTCCTTGCACTGTTGCAAACTTTGAAAGACAGACAGATATGGCCACTGGGGATGCTTGAATGCTTCCATTTTCTTCTCCCCCCCCCCCCCAAACTACCTCTCCCTTTGAAATAAAAACTCTTGAACATGAAACCACAGCTCCACCTCGATCCATGACTATCTCATAGCTGCAGCCCTGAGCGAGAGAGGATGGAGTTAACCATGGTTTTATCGCAGAGATGATCAAGGGCTAGAGTGGAGTAGAGTAGAGCTTCCAGCTGTAGGGTGAAAGCTGCTACACGCAGGGCGGGAGTGGGTTTCCAAAATTAGCTGCTTTACCCACCTACCCCTCTGGTGTCCTCTGCCTGGAACTAGTACCCTCTTCCAAGTTGGTGCCCAGTCTTCAGTGCTGGAGTTCCATTGATGTGCACTCTGCTTTACTTATATCAGTATTTCACTGGGTTTCCTTTCGATCAGAGTTGGATAGGAAACGGGGCCTGCAGCATAAGCCAGTCATAACGTGATTTCTTTTTTAAGTTAGAAGACACTTGGATGACAAACTGTGATTCCACTGAAATCCTCATGAGCGTTATCATAGCATTTTACCCTTTCTGCAGCCATATTGTGGCGGAGCGATTGCTCGATAGTCGTTGCAAACTCTGTCAGTTGCCGGAAGCCAACCTTGAAGCTCTCTTCTCGGGGTGCCCCCAGGCCTCCTCTTCCAAAGCCGACCCCATTGCCATGGCCCTGGGCTTTTCTTTGCACTTTCTTCTCCGTGGCTGCCTTCCTCCCCGTCTCCATGTCCCGTGTCCCCCAAAGTATACCAAGCACGCCTGAATGTTCACATGTGTACATCGTAAGAAAACCACGAATTTTGGAAAGGTTAAGATGGTGCTGCCCTGCAGCTTGACCAAGCTAGGGGAAAATTCTTTGTAGACGAGGAAGTAATCTCTAACAGAGGCAGTTATAGTCCATCTTGGGCAGCTTCCGTGGGGTAAACAGTAAAAAAAGAAAAAAGAAACTACCTTCGCAGTTCATTACGGAGCAAGAGCAAAAAATATTTAAAATTGTCAATACCATAACCGTGGTAGGTAATCCATATTGGATATCAGTTTAAGGACCACATAAAAACTATGAGAGACACACACATAAATAAATGAATATATATATAATATATATAGATATAATTAATACATAATTATATATACTTTATCATACAGATGTTTTGTGTGTGAAAGGTTAAGTGTGATAATAAGTTTTCATGTTAATAAAAATCATACAGGCTTTGGGTGGGACGAGGAAGGGAGAATGGTTTTACGATTTTCTCGGAACAATCGCGAGGGGGGTCGGGATGTCACGTGGGTGGTTGGAGGAAGGAGTCTGAAAGCTATTTTATTTTTCCTTTTTCCCTGCCTCCACTTTCTCATGGCACCTTTGCCAACGTCATCTGGCTGAAGCATCTCCTCCCAAGGGCCTGGCAACCCTTATCCGACCCCACTTTCCCAAAGAAGGGAGGCTTCTGAAAAGCAGGTTGCATTCTTAGTCACAGAAGGGCAGAGGTTTCTGAGGAAGGCTTCCCATCCTTAAGGCCTTCCTTCCGTGCAATTGTACCAATCCTTTAGGGATCTTTCCCTCTTTGGCAAAAGTTCTCGTGTGACACACCACCCCATGAACTATGCCCGAATATTCGGGTTTTGGGGGAATGTGTGTTCATGTGGTTAAAAAACAACCCAAATGCGCAGTTGAAACTTGATTGGCACTTGACTGCGGATTGCATCGGCAAACTTTTAACTGGCTCCCGAAATGTCGCTTCTTGCATTCGGCCTTTCGTCTTAACTCTGTTGTTTTCTTGGGTTCATTTTTTCCACCTTCAGTATTGGTTTGGGATTGTTTGTTTCCAAGGTGCAGTACAGCTCTAGTTCCTCTTCGTTGTAAAGGGATTTCCAATAGACCCTACCCGCCCTGCACCTGGAGCATTGTGGGTAAGGGGTCCAATTTGACCGTTCCATTAGACTCTCTGGAAAGTCCCAGATTCAGTACCCAAGTTGGCCATCACACTCCCATGTAAGACCCACTGTTGCAGGAGATGAATGGCTGAGTTGAGGCTAAATTGAGGACAGAGCTCACCCGCTTCCCCCTTTTCACCGATCCGGGAAATGTTGCTCCTGCAGGATAGGGGTCCGTGAAGAACAACATTGAGGGGGTCTTCAGTAAAAAAGAGGACTTGATGGAAATTGCCCTTGCATCCTGGACCCAAACGTAATGGCCCAGTTTTGTTTCACACTTCCTGGCTCCAGAAAGTGATATATGAGTGCCTCAGAAGGGCACATGCACACTTTGACCCATTGGGTGTTATGCCCTTGTGCACACCATTCCTTCTGGGGTCCTGAGGATGACTTTCTTTTTCGCCCACTGGACTTTCACACCTTCAGTCTCAGTGTGTTTGAAGGAGACAGGCGACCACGTTTGATTGGGGAAAGTCCCCGTCAATCAGGTCCAGGGCATTGACTGCGAGTCGGACCTCCCCATCTTTGTAGTGGCTTGGCCAAGACTATCCGCCCTCAGCTAACAAGCTTAAGGATAGATCAGTTTCACTCATTACTCAACGTAAGATGGTAGATCTTACCACTTTCAGACAGCGGGGCGGGGCATGTGGTCATCCTGATTTATTTATTTTTAACTCGTTGCATTGTTTGTATGCCAGAGGACTATACTTCATTCTCACTTGTGTGTTGTTTTAGTACATCCTGGAGTGTTTTTGTTTTCCCGGGACAATGGTTTCAGAGGGATAGCTGTGTTGGTCTGCAGTGAAAGAGCTAGATTCAAATCCAGTCGCACCTTAAAACACTCACAAGAGTTCCAGGACTTCCGGTTCCGAGGGTCAAAGGTCCCTTGGTATCTGACAAAGAAAGCTCCTACCCCGAAAACCTCGTGGGTCTCTAAAGTGCTGCTGGACCGGGATCCAGCTCTTTTACAAGGAAGAACACTGTAAAAGAAAATGTTTGACTTTCCCAGAAATGGTACCATCTCACCCCACTCGGTATCACTCTTGAATTTTGTCAGGCTCTCATGTTTGAGCGTCTAGGCTTGCATCGAAAGAGGAGAACGTGTGTGAGAGAAAGAGATGGAATGACACTGGAAAATGAATAGCCACAGAGGTAACTCTGGTGGGTCTTGTGACTCGGGAAAGACGAAGGGAATTTAGGCTTCTGGTATGTTCAAAGGCTAAAGAGGTAATAAACATTTTCCCCTATCAAATCACTTACGCTTTTAAGATAGATAGCCGTGTTAGTCTGTCTTTAGCAGTAGAAAAGAGCAAGAGTACTGTAGCACCTTAAAGACACAAAATTCGTGGCAGGGTGTGAACTTTCGCGAGTCACTGCTCACTTCTTCAGATACTTGGTATGAAAGCTCATCTCCTGCCACAAATTTGGCGGGCTCATCTCCTGCCACAAATTTGGCGGGTCTTTAAAGTGGTACTGGACTCTTGCTCTTTTCTATTACACTTTTAAGTTTTCCTCTCTTTTTTTATTTGAAGCTAAAAAAAATCATGGCAATAATGTGGATTTCTTTCTCCCCCTCCCAAATCCAGTCTTGCTGGAATGCGTCTCCTTCTGATGGCAAATCCGACCTCTTTTCTCCCTTTTTCCTCCAAACCGAACCAATGATGCAAACCTGTTGTGGGTTTTTTTTTAAATTGCCTATTCATTCTGTCTTCTGTGGTTTACTCAGATTAATTTCATTGTAATATTTATTTCGTGCTGCTTTTTTATTATGAGATAAATTATTGGTATATCAAGTAATGTGGGGTGCCTGTTTTGTAAGGCGTATACACTTGGTGCGCGTGTGCGTGCGTGTGTCCCACCTACTTTTGCTCTTTGGACAAAAACCACAATGTTAATTTATTGCTGTAAATGGTATGCTGCGAAGACTTCTTATTTTGTACCTTTCCAATAAAGCATTTTCTGGTTTCAGATTCGCCCTGGTCTGTGAATCTGTGTGTTTTGCGCTTGTGTCGACGCTATGCTGTGCTTGGGTGACCTTGACCTGGATAAGCCCAGACTAGCCCAATCCCATCAGATCTCAGAGGCTAAGCAGGGTCAGCCTTGGCTAGTATTTAGAAGGAATACCAGGGTCATGGTGCAGAGGCAGGCAATGGCAAACCACCTCTGAAACATATCTTGCCTAAGAAGAAGAGATTGGATTTATACCCCGCCCTTCACTCGGAGTCTCAGAGGGGCTTACAGAGGTAGGTGGGGCTGAGAGAGCTCTGAGAGAACTGCTCTTTCAAGAACAGCTCTGATAGAACTATGGCTTGCCCAAGGTCATCCAGCAGCTGCAAGTGGAAGAGTGGGGAATCAAACCCGGTTCTCCCAGATTAGAGTCTGCGCATTTAACCACTACACCAAACTGGCTCTCCAGCTCGCCATTGAGTGGTATGTAACACTAGAGCTAGAACTTTGGGCTGCCAGACAATCTTAGGAGCTGGCTGTTCTACCCACAATGCCATGCAATAATACTTATTATTATGTATGTGGGTGGAGATGGAACACTAAGCATGCGGATCAGCAGCAGGAGGATTTGGCTGCCTGCAGGGTAGCATGGGCACCATGATGCCCACCCATCGCCATACCTAGCGCCCACCAAGTGTTTTCAGAAAGTGGGCAGGGCTCTTGCCCAGCACCGCTTTTGATTGGCCGTTGGAAACCTGATCGACTGTGCAGGTGGAAATAACACGGCCTCAGCAGCAAGCTGCCCTCACAGTGTTAGTTTTCTTCTCTCTCTCGGTCTTTTTCCCCACGGTATTTTAAAAATTTCCCTTCTCCCCTGCACTTGGGCTTTCTCAGTGTGTGGTTGGCTCCACCTCCTGTGGCAGCCATTTTGTGGTGGCGCCCCCCACCCCTGTTCAGAATTCCAAAGGTGCCCACAGGCTCAAAAAGGTTGGGGACCAATGTTCCCTCTAAGATGTGGAGTCTTGTGAGCAAAAATCCTACTTGGTGAGCTGCTGGCATTAAAGTTGTGAGCAAGTGATTTGGCTCCTGCATAAATTAGTTTGCTCTGGAGCCCTCCTTCCTGAGCTAAGACAAAAATGTGTGAGCCAGAGG